GAGCACCGCCAGGAGTGATTCCTGAGTGCAGAGCCAGGAGGAACCCCAGTGCATCGCTGGGTGTGACCCAAAAAGCAAAAAAAAAAAAAGTAAATAAAAAACTTCCTTCTTCTCTCCTGGAAGGGAGCATAACACGATGTTCGCCATAACCATGCTGCCGGACCCTGTGCCAAGCTGTTTCCCTCGGGGCGCCCTAGAGGGGGGGTGGGTGAGAGACCCTTCCCCACCCCAAGGAACCCAGCCCTGGCAGCCGAAAACCTCCAGAATTCAACTGCTGCCCTGCTCATGGCCGCTGTCCACACACTTGGGCTGAGCCTTACCCAAGAGTGAACCTATTCCTGGACACTTCATTCCGCACACCCTACCCATACTCCAAAAGTACCTCGCCACGTTTGATGGGGTTCAAAGTAGGAGGCAACCAATCTTAGAGGTAGTTTTTTTTTTAGCAGACTTAGAGAAGGTCTTAATGGCCCCTGGGTGAAATACGACAATCTTCACACTCTTTCCTCTGAGGATACTTTTTTGTAGCATTTTCAGTAGTTTTTCATAACAAGCAATACAAAATATATTATTTTGGTTCTACTTTAGGGCAGGAATTGGAGTTTGGGATAGAAACATCTGAAATATGGTGATGGGAAGGTGTAATGGTGGTGGGATTGGTGTTTGAATATTAAATGTAATTGAATATTGTGAATTCCTTTATAAAATAAAAGGTAAATAAATAAAAAATAAATAAAAGCTTCCGCCTCCTCCTTTCTCTCTTCCCCTCCTTCCTCTGTTCCTCCGCCTCTTCTTTTTCTCTTTTGTTTCATCCTCCTACTCCTTCCTCCCTTCCTCCTTCTCCTTCTTTCTCTCCTCTTCCTCCTCCTTTTCTTCTTCCTCTCATCTTCTTTCTTCCTCTCTTCCTCCTCCTTCTCCTCCTCCTCCTTTTCCTCCTCTTTCACTGCTTCCTCTTCTTTCACTTCCATTTCCTTCTTTCTTCCTTCTTTCCCCCTCTCACCTTCCTCCGCTTCTCCCGCCTCCTTTTTTCCTCCTTTCTTCCCTTCTTCTCCCCCTTTCTTTATTTTTGGGTCACCCCCCCTCCCCCCCACCCCCGCAGATCTCGGGGTTTATACTGGTTCTACGCTCAGGAATCACTCCTGGAGGTGAGGTCCAAAAGCAAAATCCAAAAGTCTTTTCGCCCTTCCTGAGTGTGCCTCAAGCAACTGTGATGTGAAGACTCACACAGGCACCAGCACCTCACACTTGGCCAGGAGGTGATTGGACCTCCAGTGGGGTGTGTGACTGGGGCCTTTCAAACGCTCCAGTGCAATATTTAAAAAGGGAGAGCGACATACTTGACCCAACTTCACCTCCTCTCTTTGTCCACTTCCGTTCCCTTTGTTTCTGCACACTTGGTTGCAGTACACAGGAGATCACACCTGTGATCTGTGGTACCAGCTGTGTCACACATGGGCAGTACCATAGTGGCACTCAGCACTCAGCACTCAGCAGTGTGGGGCAGGCAGTGTCGGGGATCCAACTAGTGGCCTCATGTGTGCAGGCAGGCACTCTGCCACTCAGCTACTCCCTGTGCTCTTCCAATAACGTTTATAAACAGCTTTATGGGCCAGGAAGAGAGTTCAAAGGGCGGGAGCGCATGCCCGACATGCATAGAGCCTCAGGTTTTGACCCCTAGCATCGCATGATCTCCCTAGCATTGCCAGGTATAGCCCCCAGCACTCCGATATATAGTATAAATCATGATCACAATCATCCTGTTGTTCGTCAGTTTTCTCGAGCAGGCATCAGTAATGTCTCCTTCTTCCTAGCCCTGAGATTTTAAAAGAGTCATTTCAATGCTCTTTCAGGATTAGGAGAATGAGACCCATCATTGTTACTGTTATTTGGCATATTGAGTACGACACAGGAAGTTTGCCAGACTCTGCTGTGCGGGCAGGATACTTTTGGTAGCCTGCCAGGTTCTCCAAAGGAAAAAATAAGATAATAAGATGTTGTGCAGCCGCATTGTGGCCGTGCGCTTCTGGGAGCTGGGTTTTATAGTTTCTGCGTCTTGGCCATTGATGGGACCAACCTGGCACTGGTAGCAGCTGGTGGGTGTGATGCCTACCTACTGGAAGATGGGGGGTCTGGTTGGAGAAGGCCCAGTCCCAGTCTGAGTAGGCATGGAGACCTCAGCCCCGGGACCCACAGTTCTTTCATGCCAGTTCCTCTGCCAGTTCTTTCATGCAGGAGGCCCGTCCGGACGTGTGGAGAGTGGTCCCAGCATGGCCATGGCTGACTCCGGAGGTCCTCAGCTGCTGGGGCTCTGCTCGGGGCGAAGGGCGGGGGGAGAGAAACTCAACCCTCCCCCCCTCCAAGGGGGCCCGGTGAGGACAGCCAGGCGTGGGGGCAGGAGATATAAATATTATATCTTTATTGATATTATGCTATATAATTCACTGGTGAAAAAGGCACTTTTTTTTTCTTTTTTCTTTTTGGGTCACACCCAGCGATGCACAGGGGTTACTCCTGGCTCATGCACTCAGGAATTACTCCTGGCCATGCTCGGGGAACCCTATGGGGTGCTGGGAATTGAACCCGGGTTGGGCCGCATGCAAGGCAAACGCCTTACCCGCTGTGCTACCACTCTAGCCCCAAAGGACATTGTTTTGTGACCTGTGTACTCAGAGCTGTGCAGCCATCACCATCATCACTTTTTTATTTTTTTGACTTTGTGCCACACCTAGCGATGCTCAGGGGTTACTCCTGGCTCTGCACTCAGGAATAACTCCTGGTGGTGCTCGGGGGACCATATAGGATACCAGAGATCGAACCCAGGTTGGCAGTGTGTAGGGCAAACACCCTACCCGCAGTACTATCACTCCGGCCCAACTGTCATCACTTTGGGAACATTTTCATCACCTCGAAAAGAAACCAGCAGCTTAGTCCCCTTTCTAATGTGTGTGGCGCCCCTTTCACCCTTCTGCTATTGACAACCTCCAGTCTTCTTTTTTTTTCTTTTTGGGTTACACCTGGCAATGCTCAGGGATTATTCCTGGCTCTGCACTCAGGAATCACTCCTGGCAGTGCTCGGGGGACCATATGGGATGCTGGCGATCGAAACTGGGTCAGCTACATGCAAGGCAAACACCCTCTCCACTGTGCTATCACTCTTGCCCCCACCTCCAATCTTTATTTCCATAGACTTGCCTATGTTGGATTTGCCATATGAAGAGGGTCACACGTGATTTGGTTCCTTACCATATTAACAAGGTCTTCCCATGTTATGTGTACTTCGTTTCTTACGTTATGTGGATTTTTCACATTTTCTTTATCCATCAGTCGGTAGGTGATTGGATAATTTTCAGTCTTTGGATATTAAGAATAATCTTTCTGTGAACTTTTGTGTGCAAGTTTTTGTATGGGTGCCTGTCTTTGTTTCCCTACAAGTGTAATTGTTGGGTCATACGGTAATCCTATATTTCATCTTTTTTGGGGGGAGGTGGGGGCCAGAGCTTGCAGTGCTCAGGGGTTATTCCTGGCTCTGTGCTCAGGAATCACTGCTGGTGGTGCTTGGGGGACCATATGGGTGCTAGGTATTGAAGTGGGGTTGGCTGCATACAAGATAAGTATATTTTTGCGGTAGTGGGGCTGGGAGGTTGGGTCATACCTGGTGATGCCCAGGGTTTATTGCTGGCTTTGCAGTTAGGGATCACTCCTGGCAGGGCTTGGGGGACCATATATGTGGTGTCCGGGATGGAATTCTAGTTGGCTGTGTGCAAGACCTTATCTGCTGTACTATCACTCTGGTCCAGCTTTGATTATTAAAACAGAATGGCAGGAATTCCCCTCAAGAGATCCCTGAAGACTTAGAAATGATTTAATTTACACAGACTATTTCTTTTGGTTCTCTTCCGAGAGTTTTGAGCATTACAGTAACCGAAATCTTTCCATATACTTTAATGTTGGGCTGGAGCGATAGCACAGTGGTAGGGCGTTTGCCTTGCACACGGCTGATCCGACTGACCCGGGTTCAATTCCCCTGCCCCTCTCGGAGAGCCCAGCAAGCTACTAAGAGTATCTGCTCACACAGCAAAGCCTGGCAAGCTACACGTGATGTATTGGATATGCCAAACACAGTAACAACAAGTCTCCCAATGGAGATGTTACTGGGCCCGCTGGAGCAAACCGATGAACAACGGGAGGACAGTGACAGTGACAGTGACTTTAATGCTACTGCAGAATGAACCTGAAAATTATCAAAGCGTTGTTCTGCAGGTCTGCGTGCGTGAGAAGCCTGCAGGGCAGGAACTAGGACCGCACTTCTGTTGGAGGCCGGGCACAGCTTTCCCGTGATTCCAGACTTGCAGGGCACCGACCCTCTCTGTAACTTGTCATTGCTGAGGCTTCGGGCGAAGGACTTAACCTCTGCGTTCACCTCGTGCGTGCCCGGCATCAAGGATCAGAAGCCGCGAGCAGACTACGTGCTCATTTCCTAGTTTCGCACCCAGGTGAACTGGGCACGTCCCCTCCCCTGCCCTCCCGGGGTCTAACTAAGTCTGTCCGTCTGGAATGGATTGGATTCGAGGCCGCCTCCGATGTGTGCTCGGTGCCGCTCTGAGTTGCAGAGAATGGACCTTAGGGGATGTCTGGCACAATAGCATCCTTGGTTTGAAGAGACAATCAGTCGTAGGAAGGCACACGAAGGGGAAACTGCAGGAGGCCCGGATGCACGCCGAACGAGAAGCCCCGTTATTTCGAGGACGGGATGGGCGTGGCGGGGCGCCGACGGGCGTGCAGGCAGCCGAGCATCCCTGCAGGAGGAGGAGAGGGCGGCTGCGGGAGAGCGCGGAGGCCGAGGCCCGGGCGCACCGAGCGCCGCCGCAGCGGCTGCGCACTGGCGCGCCCCGCCAGCCTCATTTGCGTGTCCCCGCCTCCGCGGCGAGCCGATTGGGCGGCGGGCCTGGCGCCGCGCGCCCATTGGCCGCGGGGCCCGCCGCTCAGGCCCGGGAGCGGACGGCTCCTACTGCGGCTGGGCGCCGGCTCCGCTCCCGCGTCGGCTCGCGCTCCCGCTGCGCCCGGCCCGGCCCCGGCCCGGCTCGGCCCGGCCCCGGCCTCGCAGCGAAGGCGCCGCTGCCGCCTGGGCCGCTCGCAGGGCCATGAGGAGGCGGCGGCAGCCGCTGCGGCCCGCGTCAAGGTGACCGGCCGGGACTGCGGCGGCGAGGACGGGCGGTGAGAGGCGCGGCCGCGGGGCGGGGCGGGGCGGGCCCGGGGGCCGGGCCGGAGGCGCTGCAGGTGCGGGGGGCGGGGCCGGGCCGCAGGTGCGCGGTGGGGGCGGGGCCAGGTGGGCGCGCAGGTGGGCGCGGCCGGGAAGCGCAGGTGCCGGGCCCGGAAGCGGGGCCCGGGGCGGCGGGTGAGTGGTCGCCGGGGCGGGGCCGCGGGAGCTCCGGGCTCCCCGGGGGCGCGCAGTCAGGGGGGCTTGCCCTGGGTGGGGGGCGGGCTGCCCCGGGCCGGCCCGGTGCTGGAGGAGTGCGTGGGCTCCCAGAGTTGGGAGCGGGGAGGTGCAGGAGGGGACCTGGGCTGGCTGGCCCGGGCTGGGGTGGGGGGTGTGGGGGGAGGGGCCAGATGCGGTGGCAGGCAGGCCTCGGCGGTGGGGGGTGGTCTCCAGAAGCCCGACGTGGCAGCCTCGCAGGGGCGAGGGAGCTCCCCAGGATTGCGGGTTCCGAAGCGTTTGCTTTGTGCTCCCTGGAGATCCGCCTCTCCCTGCCTTGTTTCCGCCTTTGCAAAGAGCATCATCCTGGTCCCTGCGTGTGTGCGTGTGTGCGTGTGTGTGTGTGTGTGTATGCACGCGCGCGGAGGCCGCGGGACGGCAGGGCGCCCCTCGCCAGCCCCCCGGGGGAGGAACTCAGGCCCCCCCGGGCCGCAGGAGCAAGGGACTGCTCATCGGGGGACGATTTTCTTGGGAGTCAGGGGCAAAGTTTGTGGAGGGAGCCCTCCCTGCCACCACCGAGTGCTCATTCTGTCCCCCACTGTCACTGCCTGTCCCCAGGGGGACTCCGTGTCAGATGAAAAAAAGCATTTTATTGTTTGCTGACCTTTGAACCCCAAAGGCTGAGCTGGAGCTGAGGGCTTTTGGCTGGAGTTTAGTGGAATTCTCTCTCCTTATCTGAGCACAAACCCTGAGTGCTAGGAGATTCTTGTAGGGATGGAGAGGAGAGCCTGGGGGTGCTGGGGGGCCGCCTTCTGCTCACCAGGGTCCCATGTCTATGTCTGCCTGGATCCAAGGCCCAGGGCCCTGCTCACACTCACTTTTTTGATCCCCTGGACTGGAGTTCTGTGCCCATGTGGCCGGGAAGAGAGCAGGAGGAGGCTTGTGTATTGGTCTGCGGGTTTTCAGCACTTTAGAAGTGTGGGCTTCAAAAGTAGAGAGAGAGTATGGGGGAAATTGTCTGCCACGGAGGCAGGGGGAGGGTTGGAAAGGGGGGTATACCGGGGACAGTGGTGGTGGAGAATGTGCACTGGTGGAGAGATGGGAGTTTGATCATTGCATGATTGAAACTCAAGCATGAAAGCTTGTAACTGTATCTCACGGTGATTCAATAATAAAAAAATAAAAGTAAAGAAGTGTGGGGCTTTGGGGACCAGTCACGGACTGCTGGCCTCTCTTTTTGCCACTTGGTTGGTGGCCTCGTGGATGGAGATCAGGGGTAGGTTGCTTGCCTTTCTGCGGACTGTGTTTCTGTGGCTGGTGCCTGTGGTACTTAGAAGCAGCGTGTATAACTTGTCCTGCTTTTTCCCCTCGGCAGAAACAAGGGCATTGAGTCACCGAGGTTGCTGCCCTCTGGATAAGCATCGGGCCGCGTCTCGCAGGAAAGTTCAGACAGGAGCTTGCACACGTGTTGGGTAGATAGTAAGGGAATTGGCCTGCCATTGGTTTTGGAGTGACAGCATTCAGGCTTAAGAGATAAACTTCATTCATGGAAAATAATTGTGTGTTTGGTTCTCTATGATGTGGTCTCTCTGAACCTTTTGTTTTCATACTTTTTAATTTTGGGACCTCCCAGGCGGTTCTGGGGCCACTTCTGGCGATACTAGGTCAACCATTCCAGATGGGTCAGTGCTTGAGCTGGCAACACTGGGCATCACCAGGGCCACCGCCAGTGTGTGGGCAGTCGCCTGGTATACCCATGAAGGTGCCCAGCGCCAGCTAGGAGCTGGGGTTGAACCTGAGGCCTTGCACCCCAGACCCCCCCAGTCCACTCCGTGGCCTTCAGCTGACCTTGGGAAGTTGAGTTTCCTTTTCAGTGTGGCAGGCAGGGGACCTGGAGTGCAAGTGACCTGGGTCAGCGTTGGAGCCTGGGCCAACCCTCTCCCAACCAGCTTCTCCAGGCTTTGTTGTCCGGAAGTTGGGGTCATAGAGCTCACCCTGAGAGGTGATCAGGAGGCTAGAGCCAGCCAAGATACTCAAAAGCTCCTGATGCTCGAGGCCTTGAGCGTGAGGGCCCCTTTCTGCCCCTCCCAACTGGCCGTCATTGAGCGTAGCAGCAGGCGACATTCAGGGCACTGGCTCTGAGGCCATCATTCTGTGTAACCTCTGACTGACTGGTCTTGTCCCTGCTCCAGACCACACTGTTCCCTTTTCTTCTTTATTATTATTATTATTTTGGTTTTGGGGCCACACCTGAAGTTGTTCAGGTTTTAATCCTGGCTTTGCATTTCGGGATCACTCCTGGAGGGCTTGCGGGACCACCAGGGGTGCTGAGGGTGTAACCTGGTCAGCTCCATGCAAGGCAAGCGCCCTCCCCACTGTACCATCTCCCAGACCACCCTGCTCTCACCACACTGTGGGTGGTGGTTCCACTGTGGAACCAGCGTGGTTCCAGCCTGGCTTTCTGGTGATCTTGTTGCCAGAATTTCCTGAGAGGCTGGAAGAAGGAAACTAATGATCCTTTTCATTCCTTTAAAACTCTCCAGGGCCAGAGAGATAGTACAGCAGGGAGGGCTCTTGCTTTGCACATGGCAGACCTGGGTGTGGTCCCCAGCTCTGCATATGGTTTCCTGGGTACCGCTGGGTATGGCCAAAATTAGTACCAAATCAACCTCTCCACCAAAAAAAAAAAAAAAAATTGTTATCTAGCACTTTCCCCCTGCACCCAGAAGATATCAGTTTGCTTTTGAGGGTGCTGGGGCTCGAATCCAGGGCCTCAACACCTGTGAGGCACGCACTGTCCCCCTGCGCCGGGTGTCCCAGTACCTGTGGAAGGGACAAGTGAAGGACTTTTAGAAGAAGGTGTGGCAGATTGTCTCTGATGCTTCTGTCCCCATTGTGTCTATTCCTTCAAAAAGCATTTTATTCAGGACCCGAGTAAGAGTATATCGAGTAGGGCAATTGCCTTACATGCGGCCAACCGGGGTTTGATCCCCGGCATCCTATATGATCCCTCATATTCAAAAAATTAAATTTTTTCTAAATGCGTTTTATTCCTTGCACAGAAAGGTGCCGTGAAAAGGGCCAGGGAGTTAGCTCGGGGATCGAGCCCAGGTCCGCGCTGCTGTTCCTCTGCGGGCTCTGGGCGGAGCAAAATCCTAGATCAACCTCCGTGAAATCTACATCGAGGACAAAGTTGTCCACAGTCAGCTTCGTCCAGTGCCTGCTCATAAATATCATTTTTCATGGTTGCCATCATAATGTGTATGAGCACATGAGGAAGTTGTGACAGTAAATGTATTTTTGATTCTCCCTTCTCCCATCACCCGGGGGATGGAGGGGAAATCTTCCAAGCAGTGCTCAGGGGGTCTGTGGTCCCCTCCTGGTGATCCTTGAGCAATGCAAAACTTGGCCTGCTGAACTGGTGGTTCAGTGTGAAGGTCCATGGATGTAGTGCTGTGTAGAGCCTACAGTGCCGGGGACCACCAGGGCCAATGGTAGGTTGGGTGTATTGGGGTCCACCAGGGCTATACTACTGTTGTATAGGGGTGCATGCCATCCCAGGCACCACACTGGAGTCCTCAGCAAAGCCTGTGCCCCTGACTCCTGACCCATCTCCCTGGCCCTCGGTGGATTTTTTTTTAATGGTAATTTTAAATCTTATAAAGAAGAATCAAAATCACAGATGGGTATTTTTACAAGGCAAGTAGATAAAGGCGAACAAATGGCAAAGAGCGGCTTCCTTGCCTCAAGCTGCCAGTTCTCAGTCTCGTCTCCCTGGGGGCATCCACCCTTCCCATTTTCTTGTTTATGCTATATTCCCTCTCACACAGAGAATAGCATTCTATACATACTCTTGCACTTCCATTTATTTACTTGATCTATTTTGGAAATTGTTCCAGCATCGGGAAGTATTCCAACTAGTACATACAGTTCCTCTGTAATAACTGTTTTTTCCCCTGATCGTGTCAGCACAGTGTGGTCCAGCCCCCCCGGTGATGTTCGCTCAGTAATGGTTAGCAGTCCTCGGCGAGAAGCAGGACAAGCGGCGTCCCGTGTTTTCCTCTAGGAAAGACATGGCTGTGGTCCCAGGAACCGCAGATTAAAGAGTGGTCCAAGGTCTGGGTGCCAGCCCGGGAACAGAAAGAGAAAGGAAAAGGGATTTGTTCACTGCCGATTAAAAACTGATTTTCCCACCCAGCCCGGGATTCAAAGTCCAGCTCCCGCCACCTCCTGGGCGTGGTCCTGGGGGCGTTTACCTGCTGGTGCCCATCTTGCAGTTTCTCTACCTGGGAGGTAGCTGCTGGTGATACGATCGACCTTCCCCCCCTTAATTTAAGGCAGAGGAAATGAGCTCATGCTTGGGAAGCGTGTGCTACAACAGTAGGTCATAATGGATGCTCACGAAGGGGGCTGCCACTGTTATTAATAATCTTAAATAAACTTTCTGTGTGTGTGGTATTGGGACCGCACACACGCAAGGCAGACGCCTCCCTCCGAGCCGTGCCTGACTCAGTGCCAATAAACTCATTCTCTGGGGTGCCTGGGATGGAACTGAGAGCCTCACACATGCAGGGCACGTGTGCTGCCCACCCCCCGCCACCCCCCAGCCCCAGCTGCCTCCCTGCCCCCTCAGATAGATTCTTTTGTTGTTGTTTTGGGGTTTGGGGCCACACCTGACTGTGTTCAGGGATCACTCCAGGCAGGCCGAGGGGCCACGTGGGGTGCTGGGTTGCAACCTAAATTGGCTGTGTGCACGGCAGGTGCCTTACCTGTTGGACTACCTGCTCTGGCCACGGGGCCC